GTATTGCTCGTGGGCGCGTACGCATGACGACGACGACGACGGAGTTGCGCAAGATGGCAGCCATACTCCAGCTAAAAGGTTGACTGAGACATGCAGCCTTGATTTATAGCCTCCTTCTTTGATATTGGACATCCATGTTATCGTCAATTGACAACTGTCCAAACAAGGTATCCGCTGACCAGTATCACGTGAGCATATCGCGGCTCTAGTTTAGAGCTCATTGAGGTCAAATGTTATTTTTTACCGCTGATCAAGTGCTGGTTTTCTATTGGGTCGCGGGTTCATTTCAACTTGTAGTAAACGGGGCCAGCGCAAGCTTGTTTGAAAGACGGTTAACGCTAACCCAGGATTAAAAGTTATCAGAAGCAGTATAAATATTTCTTGTATACAAATGCTTTTCACTGCCTTTGTTTTGTGTCTTTTGAGATTATTCAATTCAAAACAGAAGGCCAAACAATATACAGAAAACCTCAATGAAAAAGTACAAAACTCAAATCAAAATTCTCGTTTTATCTGGGCTAGTATCTAAAGCGGGCCTTGAAAACCCGGCCCTGGAGCTTCGCTTTTACGCTTGGCTAAATCTATATCTAAATCTGTATATTACTTCTCTTGATTCTGTTCAAAAGTTGGCAAACACATGTCACGAAATAACGAAAAGCACTGAGACGTACCTTGATCACAATGTTGTCCTTTGTATCCACTTGAACAATGACATTTATATCCACCAATAGTGTTAACACACGTGGCACCATTCTTACATGTAGTACTTGTTTTGCATTCATCTATATCTAAGAAATGAAGTAATAAGATATGCTATTGAAAGTCTCAAACTCATAAATATCTCAACAACTTCAAGCAAAGGAAATCGTGGTCCTAATGGTGGTTTGATTAGTGGACATTCATGTAATAAACATAAAACTTTACGATTTTCATGTCATAGCTCTAGTTTTCTCTATACTTTGTATTTCGTCAAATTTCCAAACACCTCAAAGAACATGAAAAACTACTCCGCAGACTATCAATGCTGCGTCTTCTCGGTGCTTGAAATTGCGATGAAACACATTTTTTTTTCATCCTTTTCTATTTATATTGCATAAGGATGTATCCAGAGAACTCCTAGACTCAATTATTTTTACCTTGGTCGCAATCTTGACCTTCAAAACCACTGGAACACTGACATTGATAACCACCGATGGTGTTAACGCAGGTAGCACCATTCGCACATGGTTGGGCTGTTAGGCACTCGTCCACGTCTGAAAGACAAATCAGTCAGGAAAGTTGTTATTCATACACAAAAATAGGGTTAAATGGAAGGCATGGAATTAAAAAAAAATGAAGTGCTTCAACTGATAACTTCAGTGGTATGATATCTATGTACTATGTTTACTTTATTATATTATGTTTATTTCATGAGTGCATCACCTTGTTCACAGTCCTTTCCTATAAATCCTGGTTTACACAGGCATTGATATCCATTTTTCAAATCAACACATGTCGCACCATTCTTGCATGGCTTTGCCACAACGCATTCATTNGGATGGATGGATTAATGGGTGAATAAGTGAACGAACGAATGAACGCAGTACATGGATAAACATAAACCTGCTCGTTCATCGATCAATCGATAAATACATAGTATTTAGTCAGCCTTCAAACAAACAAAAGGGACATAAAGAACCTTGATCGCAATGTTTTCCTATGAATCCCGGGATGCAGAGACATTGATATCCACCAACGCTGTTCACACAGGTGGCGCCATTTTTACATGGCTTTGTCGTTAAACATTCATTCACATCTGAAAGGAGAAACCGACATGTTGCAGTACAAAGAGTAAATTTTGACGGTAGCTGCAATAAGGTGTTAGTCGACATTTGCATTCACAGATATGGATATTTTAGCGCTAAATAGGCATAAATAAATAGACATAAATATAATACCATGATAAGTTACTACTTTGTTCTGGCTAGGCTGACTATCTGTTACACATAGCTCTTGAATACAGTTCCCCACGAAACTCCATTACCTATTAGACTTTTTCTTTCAATAAGTTGGTAGTGCATGCAATACTGAGCTAAACATTTTAGTCTTTTTTGTTTTTTGTTTTGGCTAAGTCATAATAGAAATAAATCTTTCTTTCATTGACCAATCGATGAATGTATAGTATTTAGTAGCCTACAATCAATTAGGTAAAACCTTGGTCACAATGTTTTCCTGTGAATCCGGGTGAGCAGAGGCATTGATATCCGCCAACAGTGTTAACACACGCGGCACCATTCTTGCACGGTTTAGCTGTTGCACACTCGTTTACATCTGGAAAATGAGAATTTTTTAAATGATAAAAAAGGAAAAAATGATTTAAAAAATAGTTTGATCAAAAAAATAGTGTAATCAAAATGAACACTTTAATAGACATTGTGAAAAACCTTGATCGCAATGTTTTCCTGTGAATTCAGGGGGGCAAGAACATTGAAATCCACCAACGCTGTTGACACAGGTGGCGCCATTTTTACACGGCTTGCTTGTGGAACACTCATTGACGTCTGGAAATAAATCATAACAAAATTAGAACGCTTCACACATAAAGAGACTGTATAACGTTGTGCAAACTTTAAATCAGCAGCATTGTGGCCTTGAGTGGATAGTTGCAGCTCAGGTTAAGTTTTAAAGAAGGCTCAGCCAATAGAGCGTTTAGTTTCAAATCAAAACCTGTCGTTTGTTTATGATCGTCCCCTGTTTGTTGTTGCTGTTGCTGTTGCTGTAGCTCTTGATTTGCCAACGCCCCATATTTTTCGTCTTTTTTACAATTGGTTGTACTACATTTTTGGCCCGTTTTATGCCTAACGAGTACCCCATTGAGACTCTCAGATATCCACCCTGTAACCTTCTAATACAATCTAGACCTTAACCAAGATTAGCCAAATAACATAATTTTCAGGGACAGCTCTTAAATTACCTTGATCACAATGTTTTCCTTGAAAACCACTGGGGCAACTACATTGATACCCACCAACGGTGTTCACACANCCAGGTTTACACAGGCAAGTATAACCATCATTCTTTGCGATACAGGAAGCACCATTTTGACACGGCTTATTCGCTTTGCATGCATCTTGGGACAAGACAAATAATGATATTCTGTGCTTATATCTTTTTTACTCATAAAACTTCGAATCATGGTTAAAGTCGTATTCGAAAAACGTCCAAAAAAGATACGGTAAGCATATAACACTGATAGTAATTAGTAGTACAAATCTGATCTGCCAAGTCTAATTCGTTTAGGACAGGAAAGACATCAACAAAGATTAAACGTCGTAGATTTAATGGTTTATAGAGTTTTAAACAGGTTACAAATGAAATTTCCACTGTTGGAAAAGAACACTGTAGCAAAATACATGACAAACATGATAGCAATAGTAAATGAATCTATAGCAACAAAAAAAATCTATAATCTACAAATCTATAACAAATAAAACTATGATACTTCATTAAAATTTACCAAATCCTGCATTTCCACAGTAACGAAGCCAGCATACTGGAGTCTTGGCTAATTTGTACACATAGAAGCCGTTGCACCTCTTTATCTGGATGTTAGCATGCCAACGGCAACAGCTTCCACTCCAATGGAAGCACACTTTCCCGTTGACAACTTGCCCGACGTTCGTTGGATGGGATCCGCTTAGCCATCCGGGAGCGTGCGTACCACAGTAATGCTTTGGAATACAGGAGGTGGGCATCATAGTTCCAGCTGCTCCGGTAAATCTGTACCATTTGGGCGTTACCAGATCTTTCTGGTCACACTTTAGGGTGTTACCTCTGTGGACACTGGCTGCTCTCCATCTGTCATTCAGTACCTGATAGTGCGAGCATGCGTCCAGGACTGAAACAATGCAATGATTTGTTTTAGCATTTTAATTTGATCATTAACCTCGACGCTGAGCTTGACTTACTTTGAAAGACATTTTCAGAGCAAGGAATCTTGAAACACCAAATCAATGATTATAAAATTTATAATCTCTACCAGTGAACTATCTTAAACGACTTAAGTGCTACTGATAAAAAATGGTGAAATACCTAACAGAACTGCTTTCAAATCTTGGAACTGTAAGTGGAAACGAGTAAAACGTAATACAGCTAGCAGCCGTGGGGATTAACATCAGTGTAGAGCGTATTCACTCACGTGTCCAGCAGCCATGCAAATATATTTTAACAGAAGAAAGTGTTTACGTAAGAAAAGAGTTTAACTCCCACAGGATTGGTTTGGTACACCAACATGGCCGCCGTTTCATTGTTTTGGAACACCAATATGGCTGCCATGACGTCATGTGCGTACGCTCCGTTGAGCCAGTCATATAAAGGTTTCTTTTACAATTTTGTACTGGCACTTCCCAAAACCATAGAAAATGTGAAAATATGTGTCCAAGAGAAAGGAGAATAGTCGTTGAACGATAATCAAAAGTTAGTCTTCGAACTGAAAGATTTTTGTATTCCTTACTGGTAAAAAGAAGCTGAAAACAAGCGAAAGCAAAGCAAACAAATTTATACGTCTTGTGCACCCACCAGTCTCGCAGTGTTTTCCAATAAATCCCGGTTTGCAGTTACACTTGTAACTTCCTGGTAGATTCTGGCATGCTCCACCGTTAAGGCACGGTCGGGTATTGCACTCATTTACATCTGAGAATAAATCAACGCAGGTAATGTCGAAAATTGCTCATAGTGGAGAACGAGAATACTTCTTTAACACTTGTTTTGCATTCCTACCTTGTTCGCAGTTGATTCCCTGATAACCAGCCTTGCAGAGGCAAGTGTAACCATCATTCTTTAATTTGCAGGTAGCGCCATTTTTACACGGGTTGTTTATCTTGCATATATCTTGATGAATGAAGAGGGAAAATTGCTTTGTTAATTATATATTTCGCTTTGTAAAATTCTTCCACCGTATGCATTATATTACTTTTGTTTGTGTGAACATTCCATCGCATCATACACGCACCATCATCGCTTCTCAATATCATCTTATTGTTTACAAAGGTGTTATAATCGTGATTAAGAAAAAGAATTACCACATTACATAGCGTCGATGCCCCGGCTCCGAGAGAGCGGTGGAAATCGAGCCTAAATACTGAATGATTCAATGGTTTGAAATTAAGACCGTACAAAAGTTGACGATTTTCAAGAACTCAAGGACAAAGTATCCTCAGAGGTGCGACATATGTTCAAAAACCATGGGAAGTCACTTAGCTTATATACCCAAACCACATTTCTGAGGCTTCCAAAAGCTGTTCCCACTATTTGTAAAAGTCGGGTACAAGTTCAACAAGGCCAATCGGATCAAAAATAAAGTAAATTGAATCGAATTCAGATTTACCATATCCTGCATTTCCGCAATAGCGAAGCCAACATACGGGTGTGCTTTCAAGTTTGTAAACGTAAAAACCATTGCATTTCTTAATCTGGACGTTAGCATGCCAGTGGCAACAACTCCCTCCCCAGTGGAAACAAACTTTCCCGTTGACGGTCTGTCCGACGCTTGTTGGATGCGAGCCACTTAGCCATCCTGGCGCGTGCGTTCCACAGTAATGTTTTGGAACACAGGAGGTGGGCATCATATTGCCTGATCCCCCGGTAAACCTGTACCATTTGGGTGTTAACAGGTCCTTCTGGTCGCATCTTAAGAAGTTACCTCTGTGAACACCGGCAGCACGAGTTCTGTCGTTGAGCTGTATGTGGCTAGTGCATCCATCTGACCCTTTAAAGAGGAAAGTTCATAGGCTAAAGAGTAAGAATAAAATTGTCAAGAAGTACGTATAAATAAGAAGAGCGTAAAGAGCTGATTTTCGACATATCTGTTTACAGTTTTTCCTAGTTTCCNAGAAGCAGAAGTATAGAACTGAGGAAAAATTACAATGATTCACAGGACTATTCATAATTTAATTTATTTAGTTTCTTATAACATTTAACCTCTCAGCCGAAAAAGTCTAAAAATTGTGACTGCTTCATTCCTTGTCGTACCCCAGCAAATATTAAACTCACCATATGATTGCTTCCAAGCCCTGAAAGATAAATTAAAACAAGCCCGTCAGTAAGTTATCAAAATTAATTGATATAGAGTATTAAATCAATGTTGTTTGTTCAACATGGGTAGCTCGTAACTCTTCTCACCAAGGAGAACCCGAATATTGATTCGTATTTTGTTTAATCAGAGGTCTCTTTAAACGTATCTCGTGACATGTAGACAATTTGTTTTATTAAATTAACACAAAACTTAAAAAGACATTTGAACGAGTGTAAAAAAAAAAAAAAAGATCACGGCTTAAGTATAAAATTTTGATGATATTCTACCAATTCAATAAAACTGTTCCTACCTATGAAGAGTATCATAAAACAAGCCCATAAATGCCATGACTGTGTTTTAAATAATTAATAAACACGCGAGGTAGTCCCATTCTAGATGTCGCACCACTTATATAATTTCTAGCTGTTCAACCTCCTAACGATGAAAAAGAAAACTAGAGCAGTATAAATTGCTGAGATACACTTAAGGACGTTCGCGCGAAAATTTTCCGACATCGATTTTTTTCTGAGACTTTTACCACTGTAAGATGGGGGGGCACCGACTTCGTTTTGGAGAGAACATGCCCAGAAGAACACCCTAAATCTGAAAAAATCGGACTTCGTTATCGAATAAGACCACGATGTCTGTAAGCGCAAAAATATTGCGATTAGATCTTTGAAATGAAATGTTCTCTGCCAAATATTGTTTAAGTGGATCTATTAAGTGAATTTAGTCAACTGGTGAGGTTCCTTAAAGAACAAGTTCGCATTTAGCGACCATAGTTTCACGTGCCTCGCAGCCGCAAGATGGCGGGATTCGATGTCCCGTGGACNTTAAGTGAATTTAGTCAACTGGTGAGGTTCCTTAAAGAACAAGTTCGCATTTAGCGACCATAGTTTCACGTGCCTTGCAGCCGCAAGATGGCAGGATTCGATGTCCCGTGGACAGAAATCTTGAAATTTTTTAACTTCCAACATTGATTTTTTGTTCATTTTTGGGCAATGTGGAGATAATTGTAAATAAAATCTGTTTCTGGAAAGAGAAGTAGGGGTCACCGAACGTCCAAGATCGTTAAATCCAGGCAAAGCTATAGCAATGGCTAGCTGCCCTATCATTGCTTCTTTTATTACTTAGCGAGCGCTCTCATGTATGACGTGGCGTGTAAATTTGCATGCGCAGAAACAATTAGCGCGAATGTCCTTAAACTGGGTTTAAAACAGTCCAAAATACTTACTGTATCAGAACTAGGAGTGCTAGTATCCATTTCATAATTCCATAATGCATGGCTAGAATCGACCCCACTTCTGAAAGATAAGACAAGCAACTTAGTTTAATTTGAGCCATTGCCATATTTTAAATATCCTCTTTGAGATTAGATTGTGTTAATAACTGTAAATAAAGCGCAACAAAAGCGATTACGGACCAATTAAAACTTAATTGCGCAACAATCTGGCTGGCAGTTAAATTATGAATTTAATACAATTTATATATCTTTAAACAGAGAAGTATAAATGTTGAGCTAACAACGTGGTTATTGCTTCGTTTAATTTGTGAATTGACAAAAAGAGATTTTGCCATGTTTGATTTTCCATTAGAAAGCTTTCGATTCTAACTCTATTTGTATTACGGTGGAAGTAAAATTAAGGGAAATAAAATCATCTCTCTTGCTTTTAGCACGTGCTTCGATTCTTTTAATTAGTATTTGAAGGAAAAAAAAAGAAAAAAGAAGTGAAAGTGAGAATAAACTAATTTTAAGCAACACTGTACTGTTTGCGTCCTGTAATTCCCAATATCATAACATTACCAAAAATTGATTCTCTATTAGCGTAAAAATTTAAAATATAGATATATAGTTTAAGAATCTAAGAATCGCCCTTGGGTACGCGATGTGCGCGCAATACTGAAATGAAAAGAAAGAGGCATGAAAAAAAAAAAAAAAAAAAAAAGGAGAAAAAGACAAGAAATTAACAACAACAACAAAAAACAAACGAGTTCGCTCGTTCAAGGGACAACTGCATTGCAGCCTGGTATAAAGACCACAGCATAAGTAAAGAACAAACACGTTTNCATGAAATGCACCTATGAAACAGGGCTGTATTAGACTGATACTTCTAATTACAGAGCGAAAATGTAAGTTAGCAAAAATGAGCAGAAGAAGGAATTCAAAAGTAAGTTTCGCCAGGATGCAAAATCCATTGTTGTGCCCGTAAATTTACTTCCAACTGAGAAGGCTTTAAGGATTGTAAGAATTTGGAAATTTCTTTCAAAATTTTCAGCTTGATTAGAAATGGCCAGAAATGAATACCGAGAGAGCCTTGTCTCTAACAATCTTTCTCAGCTCAAGTGAATATACTGTATTTGGCATAGAAACGTAAATGGAATGCATGTAAAAGTCACTTACCTGTCGCAAAGTGTTAGGCAATAAGCTGGTAAAAAGGAAAAGTGCGCATAATTTTCGTCTTGCCCGTTTAAATTTGTGAAGATTGGCAAACAAATATTGCTTTTGTGACACTGTTGATTTCAAAATATTAGATCTTGCCAATTTTAATTTAAAACTAATTTTTAAGTAAATCTTGTGGAAAAATAATAAGACATATTAAAATTTAGGTCAAGGAAAAGTTTTGCTCTCGAAATCGTTTGTTCCGCTGAGCAGCAGGTGAACAAATGTATCTGAGATGCGTTCTTGTGTTAAAACCAGTTGGGGTGGATCCTTGTCGCAATCGTGAACAAACTGTTTATCTCTCATTGTCATTGAGACTGGACAGAAAAGAGACGTCTGACAACGTTTAGAAAATTAACGGTTCCAATGACGATATATTAAAACTAAGTGAACAAAAAAGTTAACATGCAATACACACAAAATGACGGCAAATCGGGAAATATTATTAACCCAATAAATATGAAATGGAATCGTGGCTGAAAATCACCTAAAAAAGGTCCGAATGTGAATCTGAATATCTCGTAATCGGTTTGGACATAAACTGCCTCATCTAGCAATCAAGAATGATTAGTTTAAAACGTTTTTTATGTATACAAGTAACTTTTTTCCATTCAGTTTGAACTAAAGTCCATCTCAGCCACCGTTGTGGCAACGGTGGTTACGATTGCTGGAAAGAGTAGTTTTTTACAGGACATTTCCTTTTCAGCCGTTGTAGTGATCGTAATGATCACATGGAAACCAGAATTTGCCACCGAAACATATGGCTATATGCTTCACTCTCATACATAACATTAACCAAGAAAGTCTTTTTTTGATCTCTTCAAGTCACTGATAAAGGTCACTGTTTATCAATCTGATCATTTTTAAAGTATTCTCTAATTCTAATACACTCGAATGTAGAAAAACGGCAGTAAGACAATTGTGGAGGGTATATTTTGTATTACATGGAAGTTTAATATATCCTTCTATTGCTTTGTCGGAAAAACGTACGAATTATTCAATGACATAAGTTTTAGAATTGTCATTATACCCACCTTCAATACTGTTCAACCAATTCATTTCTTTATCTCTGTTTTAAGACTTGTCTCTGTTGGTATAAGTTTCCATTGAAAGTAACTAAAAATAGAACATTCTGTAACAGGCTTACTATTCAGACCAGCACAAAAGTGGCCTGTGAAGTTTGCGTCCAGTAAGAGAGTGTAAGCGCTGATTTATATCTTATCTTATAACTTTTTGACATTCTCACAAGCAGAATCTATACTTTGTTGAAGTTTGTTCACGTCGTAGGCGTCTCCATAGCAACCATGTTTCAGATAAAACTTTTGGGACTTTTCTTGAGTATTGGATTTGTAGGCATATTCGCAGGCATTGTAGATAATTATTTTAATGCTGACAGGCACGTTTTGTAGCTTGGAAAAGGGACATTTCAACATGTACTGAGGTAAGCCTACTTTGCATTCGAGCTGTAGTGTTAAAACTTTGCGACATTTATGCGGCAACCACGATTTCAAAGAGCGCCTTACCCAAATTTTAATGTATTTTTTTACTTAAATATCTGTAAATATCATGACTGAGATGTTATTATCACTGAAGTAAACAACTTTGGATGCTTTACATGCCATGATTATTGAGGAGTCGTTATTTTTGAAACTACATACATGTAAGCATGGGGAGGGGGTGTGCAAAGAGTGCTCTCCACCAGACTCAGAAAGAAAAAGAAAACATTCCAAATAGGGTTAAGCATACTTCGGTTAAAACCCGAAAAATTGTACTTAAATTGATTAGTATCTTCTCGCATTTGTTTATGATTTTTGATGTCCCCTTCCTTCGGATATTAACTCATATAACAAAGACATTTAAGCACTGGTGAGGAAAACAAGTGTTTTGGAGGGTATAGCTTATTAGACGAACTCGAGGTCCTAGATAATCGCATCGGATACATGTTCATAGTATTCCAACAAACGGTAAGATATCATCACGGTAGCTGGTCAAGTCATCACCATTCCAATCTGTCTTCTTGCGCTATTCCTATTGCCATCCTGGCTTTTAAAGCGATAAGAGAGCTCTTCGCCTGCTCCTTAAGTTAAAGTGATTCAAAGCTACTCAAATATAATAAAAATTGCTAAAGAGTCTTTAAATCGTAAAAATATCTGGTCAGAACTTACATATTTAAATGAAACAAAATATTTGAAATTGATGTTGTAGAAAATCTGACAAAATACAGTCGTTATGTAAACTTCAAGTTTCGAGGCACACTGAGCCGTTTGCACAAATTGTTTTCAAATAAAGTTGATTCCTTCGTTTCGGCCAGTGAAACGCTTGAGACAACTGGCCTTGCAAAATTATATGTACATAAATTTAATTTGTTTTGGTCATCTCGAAAAATGTAAATTTCATGTTGTTTTAAGATTGTCCTTACGTTTCAGTGGAACAATATTTTGGAAATTGCTTGTTGTTTCATGGCCAAAAATTAATTTAACATACATTTAAACACAATACAATAACTCAACTTTTTTTTAATAACCTAACATGTTGCCATATCGAAAACTATTTAAATGTAAATTCAAGATATATTATTTATGATTTATGACACCAAGGGTTGTAACGAAGCGTTAGTAAGTGCAAAAGGACTGAATGTTTCACCAGACACTAACAAGGTAATGATATCAGGTTTTTAGCAAGTTTTAGGAATTTTAGCAATAGTACACTTAATTATATAAGTTCTGTGGCAGAATTTAGACTCCGTGTTGTGATAAAACTGCCCGATAAGCGACTTACCTAATTTGCTTCAAATTTATCTCCGCTGTTGCTATCAGGCTTTCATCGTCAATTCAGTACAGGTGGCAAAATATTGCATCAGATCAATACAAATCTTAAAACTCAAAGAAACTTAAGCAAAAACTGTTGAAGACGTTTCATGTAACGGTTAATTTTATATTTACCGAATGAACTACACGTTGATGAGTTAAATATAGTAAGAAGTGAAAGTGTTTTCACTTCACCTACAACACAGCATCAGTACGCTTCGAATTCGTTTCCGCGTTCGTCAGAACAACTCGTAATCGACGCACTTTTCGTTGAAAATCAATTTAAAAGCTAGATGTTGTATGCTTGAAATAAAGGGCACAACCCCATGCTAGCATTAAATTAACGAAGTGTATGTTTTTTTATAAAGTTTACAGACAACAAACGCTATTTTTTTTTAATTTTGTATTTTAATATTTTTAGTTGTATAACTAAACCGCTTCGCAAACGCTACAAATAAAGAAGATTGGCGGACTGATTGATATATATTTCACCTCCTTTTGTAATGTAAAAGTCATATTTTTAAAAATTAAAGCCGCATTTGTGTTCTACTACAGTACACTAAGCGGTGTGGTTAAAAATTGACGCGTTGACGCGTTTCGTTTTCGTTTTCACTTCTCCAGCGACGCAGTTAACAGTTTTTGCAGAAGAAACTAGCATACGACTTACCTTTTTAAAAAGCAACACAAACCCAAGCTATAATCAAATTTATGCTTGGTTACGATCTTTTTTAATGTTGACACAATAACAAATCACACAAATGTTATCTGACTGAGTTTTGATTTTAATTTTATTTTAGTGCACTCGCAATGTATCTTTATCTTCCTGCCAAGTTTCTTCGTTCATACCGCTTCCCTATCTAGTTAAGTTATTTACCCTCATTGATTATATATTCATAATATATTTAAAAAAAGAGTTTTTTATTGCCTCATCCTACAACGCATTCTTTGCAGTGACGTGCTTTAATTAAGTTTTAATAAACCATTTAATTATATTTAATTTAGGAAAGTAGAGGGAGCTGGGACTATGTCTTTCGACATGCATATTACTTGTTACTTAACTATTCATTCACCATGTGCTCAGCTGCACATTACTTAGCTCCGTTGCCTTCCCTCCCTCCCCCTACTAGTTAATTTATATTACCTCCTGTCATGTGTCTTAGTTACCAACTGTGGGGATGTGTTATTGAATGGAGGGGACTTTCTTGGGGCCATTCCCTGCTTACACCCAAACATGTGTTGTAGTTTTTTAATCTCTTCCATTCCTGACAGAGTTGATGTTTAAGACTAAGGGGTTTTGTGTTATCAAACTCGTTCTTTTTTTTTAATGGTGTAGGTAATTATGATTTGTATGCTTGCTAACAGCCACATGCATCCACTTCTTCGAAAAGCGTTGGCACGTCTTGGACTCTTTCTAGTATACGGCTTGATTGTCGCGTGGATTTTCACTCTGATCGAAAAACAAGACGAAACAGCTTACAAAAGAATGGAAAGGATGTTGGAGGAACTAAAAACAGAACTTAATCTTACATGTGTACACAACATGACAGAAGATTTCTTTGAGGATTTTGTAAGTAGAGCAGCCGCCGCTGTCAAGGAGGGTGATAAACTGGACTGGACCTTCCTTAACAGCTTGGCCTTTATGTTTGCTTCTCTCACAACAATAGGTAAAGTACCGAATAATCCTTTGTTTAGGTTTAAAATGGGAGGGGGCTTTTAACGGGAGGGGAAGGCTTAATAGACTTCTTCCTCAAAACGAAGGCCTCTTTTAGAGGGGAAGTTTAATAGATAATCTGCAGAAATAACTTCACTTTGTTTGTTGTCATTGGTGGATACGAGGTGTTTAATAGGAGGGACCTTTAGCAATGAAGACGGGAACGTGGACGACGACGTATATGACCGATTGAGGCCTGGAACGGGACCGTCGTCCACGGCGGGAAACGTAAATGCTTTAGTAAACCGGTTACGTGGACGAGTCCTTTACTGCAGCTTTCTGTGGCAGTCAACAGGAAAATGTCAAACAAATGTCAAATGTTCTGTTAATTTGAAAATGCAAAAAGTATCCACTAAAACAATTTAACGTTTATTCAGTGTTGTAATCAACGTCA